GTCCACTATCAGCTCCTTTGTCTTACTGACGTTTAGAAGGAGGTTGTTCCTCTGGCACCAGTTCTCCAGATTCCTAATCTCCTTCAGGTAGGCCGTCTCGTTGTTATCAGAGATCAGGCCCACCACGACGGTGTCGTCAGCAAACAAATATACATTCACAGAATGGAATAGATGGTGTTGAAGCTGACTCTGAGCTGCTTCTGCTCTTAAATTAACTGAAAATTTGTTTATAAACAAAAGGTGAAGCATGATAGTTTAACCTTTCTCTTTATGATGGAAGTGGGAAATAAACTCTTCTCTAATCAAGAAGTGGAAAGAGTGCCAGATTTCCACATACTCAGTCATCATGTTAACCAAATGTAACTGTAACCATGATTGTTAGCGCACATCAGAATGAAATTTGGTGCATTTCCTCACCATCAGAGTGTATAGTATAATTAATAAATCTAAAGGGATGAGAAAAATCTCACATATGTTCACCTGGGAGTAGAAGACAAATGTGTCTATAAGGGATAAAAAGAGAAACTGTACAGAATATTATAAAAATAAGATTAATAGCTCCAGAAAAATGCTGTGTGAAACCGTTTCAGGTATGAAATTATGAAATTGCTTTGTCCTAAATATACAAAAAATTACATATTAATAGTCATAAACTGACCCCACAGCCCGTTGTTCATTCAGTGGGTCAGGTATTACACAAATGTCCTGTTTGTAAGGTTGGAGACCTGCAGTGTTGAGATGAAATTATTTGAAGTGCTTCAATTCTATGCTTTATATTAACTAAAATGCCATATAACCATATAGTGTAGTATTAAGTGGACACGGCCCTGAAAATAAAGGTATTAGACTACGTGTCCTTGGGGGGTAGAATGGTGCAGACTCTCGCCCACGCAGGCCTGGGAGAAAGTAGATAACAGGGGACCATGTTCTAGGAGAAAGTTAGTGAAACACTGTTGTTTAGACTAGAGAGGGACCAGCAGGCACCTAGTTTTTGAGAGACAAAGGTTGTTGATTTCTGTGTATCAATGTGCTGCTGGAACTGCCCCAGTGGATTTGATGTGAAAATCCCCACGTACAAGTAATAAAATTAATTGTTTATTCTGAGAAAAACAGGAATGGGGTATTACACTGTTTTATGATGCATTATACTGCTGATTAATAAGAAATGCTGTTTGTGTAGAATCATGGCCTTATTTGTCTGATTAGAAAGAACAAAACATACTGCACAGGAAGCCAAGATCGTAACGTAGGCTCACTGAGAGAAAGAATGTGAAGGCTTAGTTTGGGCCTGAAGCTATAAGAATGTGAGAAATGGTCAGACACTTGGAGATCTTGCCGGACACCCTCCTGTGCACATCTGCTGTCCGGCCGTTTGTAATGCTATAAGTGTTTGTATGGAATAAAGAGATTGTTGAGCATTAAACACCGAGTGTTGTTCTTCCTTCAGCCCAAAGATCAAAGAATTGGGATATAACGTTCAACACATTTCTGTTCTTGTTGTTACTGATGAACATAAAAAGCTGAACTCACTAATGTTTTCTGATTATTTTATTTAAATTTTATTTAAATTGTTTTTGATGGTAACGGGGGAGGACGCTGGACAGACCTGGTGCACCTAAACGCGTAGTGAGGGTGTGCTGGGAACGTCTAGCAGAGGCCCCGGTCCGCGAGATCTTCAACGCACACCTCCGGCAGAGCTTCAACAGCATTCCGAGGGAGACTGGGGACATTGAGTCCGAATGGACCATGTTCAGCGTCTCCATTG